AGATTTTTAGCCGAGGCGAGTAAAACTCTTTCCGCAAGAAGAATACGCCCCGTGTGACAGCTAACGGTTCAGGCATAACTTCCCCAAAGATACAACGACAAACGTCTCTAAATCTGTAGCACACCAGATTTACGAGCACCGGCGAACTTGAACGGAGTCGAGAAATGAGCATTAAAAATAAAAAGATATATCATAAAACAAATAAAAATATTATTTGTTCCTTCTCATTTGATATTTTTATGTCCGATAATTGAACATAAAACTATCTTTTTTTCTTCTCTTTCTTTTTTTTTTTCTCTCTTTCCTTTCTTTCTTTCTCTTATTCTTTTTCGGTTTGTTCACAATATTTTTCCACACTCTTTCTCAAAAGAACCGAGAATATATATATATACAACTAGGAATCACAATAATTGGTAGATGAGGTGTTTGGATAATAATGCATAGATTAGTTGTTTGGAAAATAATGCATCCAACATAAGTTGACTCCCATAACTACAAGTGTTTGGATAATAATAAGTTGGAAGAATCAGCATCAATTAGGAGGAATTAATTAGTTGGAACAATAAGCATCAATTAGTTGGAAGAAAATAATTTACACTCATTGACTAATAAATATATTTTAAATTACCTTCTTGTTAAATAAGTTATTTAACACATATTCATAATTTTTTATATTTTTATTTTATCTGTATAGATATTTTGATTATTTTTATTTAAGTCATCAACTTACAAAATAAATATAATTTAATTTACATTTTTTTCTTTCAATTTTAATATATCACTATTTAATAACATATATAACTAATACTTTTTGCAGTGGTAAACTAATGTATTTATAATTTATTTAGTACATAATAATTATAATGTTCCACTAGTATGTAACCCCGTGCGATGCACGGGCTAATACATGTTTTGGAAAAAATTTAAAAACTTAAAAGGTCATTAATTAATAAGTTATCATAATACGTATGTCATTCATAAAGTAAACATAAATTCGTTATTGGTAAAAAGCTATACATTATTAAAAACCTCCTTATATACAACGTTATTAGTTTGATTACTGGGTAACTCATCGGTCCCACAAACTAATACTTTCAACCCTTTCCTATTAGTAACACGTGAAACATCGACGTATAACTGGTCAAGAGTAAAACATGTGTTTTCAAGAACAGTCCTACATGTGATAAAGACTGACCCTGACTCTTGTTTATGGTCATGGCATATGCAACCATAATGGAAAATTGCCTCCGCTGGAACTTAAACGGAACCCTAGCATCAGAAGGAGTTATGTTCACCCGAAGAATCAACACGTTCTCACCTGCGTGATCTCCAGTCAATATCCTACATTCAAGAACATGCGGAGAGAGCTTCTTAACAACCAAACGTGTGTCATTACACAGACCCATAAAATGGTCTATGTTTCGCAACAACATGATTGAAGTTCCTATCTTCAAATACAACTCATGGTTCGGCGTTCCCGAACACCTCGCCTTCGTTCAATACACCTCAAAATGCTCCCATATATGTAGAACGTATTATGCCTTTAATAAATACACCCAATAATATAAATTTATAAATATTAATTAAAATATTTTTTCAAATTATATAAATTTGATATTACAAATGAAAACATTTACCTGTTCATCATGAAACAGTATATGGAATGCGTTCCAGCTCTCCCTTTCATGATGTGTTTCAATTATTTGGACTGCTCTCAAACACAAATAAGGTTTGTTTGTCCTACTCATGGAATCAAGTGTATCCCATACTGGCGGCATTATATTATCGATGTGTTCTGAAATTTATCTCTGTATTTTTTTTTCTCTTGTTGTGAATGACATGAAGAATAATTGTGGTAGTGAATATCCTTTTATACAATTTTTTTTAGCAAAAAAGTGATTGATGAAAATTATTTAAATGGAAATATATTGGTAAGATTTTAACCAAAAGTGAGTAATGATAATTATGGATCAATTTTTATTTAATCTTTTTTTTTGGCAGACACCTTATTAAATGCACGATATGGGCCTTCAAAGAGGAGATTTATATTGAGCCACAAAAAGAGAATATTTATTTTGATTTTAATTCCATATTTTTTTATTGTATTTTCTTAAAAAAATCAAAAAAATAAATATGCTAATAAAGAGTCCAAATTGTGAAAAAAAAGGGAAAAGTTTGAGTCCGAATTGTGAAAAAATTAATGCAATGGCGTGAAAAAATAATGCAATGACGGGATTCCATAAATATAATGATTTATTCTATAGTATCTATTGCAATTAATGCTCGCAATTTATTAGGCCGAATTGTTAAAACAATACTAAGAGTGATTTTAGGCAATTTTGTTAATTTATTATTTTTAAGCAATAATTAATGAAATTGATGGGAAAGAGTTTCTAAAAATGGATTATGTTAATCTTTATTATATATTTTAATAATAGATTTGTCTAATAATAATTACACCACTAATAATCCAATAGGAGACAATTAATCGCCAGGTAAGTAGGTCCCAAGAGATACAAATACAATACACAATATGAATGTACCAAGTGTACCACATCACCCACATTCCCGTCCACATACATCGCAACATTCAAACTAATCACCACTTTCCTGAAAAAAAAAAATAATAAATAAATAAATAAAAGAAAGAAAAAGAAAGAAAAAAGCCTCTCACAAGCCACCAACACAAAATCTCACATACACCCTCAACCCTAACCACCAAACATAAGGGCATTACAGTCATTCATCCTACACCCAATAATTGACCAATGACCCGCCACACTATTTATCGGATAAAAAACGGAAAAAAAGCTTCCAATAGAAAAAAGTCCAAACAAAAAACGACCCACCGGAAAATCCCCCACCCCGCATGGCTCCGGCGACAAAACCCACCGGAGCTGATTCGCCCCTCCTCCCCGAACGCCCTCCGTCGGAGGAGGGACAGCCGTCTCTGGCCGGCGCGGTATTCAACGTGTCGACGAGCATAATCGGTGCCGGGATCATGTCGGTTCCGGCGACCCTCAAGGTGCTGGGCGTGGCGCCGGCGCTGGCGATGATTGTCCTGATCGGATTATTGGTAGAGGTTTCGGTGGATTTCATGCTGAGGTTCACGTACTCGGGCGACGCCAGGACATACGCCGGCCTGATGAGGGAGTCGTTCGGCCAGCCGGGAGCCGCCGCCGTGCAGGTGTGCGTGATGATCACGAACCTCGGATGCTTGATCATGTACCTCATTATTATTGGTGAGCAGTTTATTTTTTTTTTCCAATTTAATTAATTTATTATTTATTTTATTTTTTATTGTCAGTTGGGATTTATAATAGGGGTGGCTTGCACGCGTGTTCTTGGTTAATTTATTTCCAAATGATCGGTGTGTTTCTTTAGCTATGTTTGATTATTTGTGGGTGATAGTAGAAACGTGGCCAACTTATTTTAGGAGTGATGATTTATTGATGCTGAAGTGAAAAAGTACTTAAGAAATTAAAAAGTTTCGTATAAGTGAAGAACTAAACTAATGGGAGATTCTACAGTCCCGTTACGGAACCATTCAGTCGGAGTTTGTAACCGTTACATCAACTATCCACGGCGGTTACATGATGATCTTTGTTTGAGCAAGTGTAAAAGGGTTCCTTCTAATACACTTTAGTATTTGGCTAGCTGATCAGTTGATGGAGCCATTGTAGTATCAATTTTGTTGGTAATTGTCTGATATAAAACTATTAGAATTTGAAGAAATTAATTTTGCTCTGCATGAAATTGAGCTACTCGTTATGTTTTCCAGGGGATGTACTTTCCGGGACCGGGCCAAATCACTTGGGAGTTTTGCAAGAATGGTTTGGTGTTCATTGGTGGAATTTACGCTCGGTTGCCCTTCTCTTCATTGTTGTTTTTGTCATGCTCCCGCTTGTCTTATATCGTCGTGTAGGTATGTATTTTTTTAGATGATTAAAATAAATATACTATACCTTAAGTTTATAAAAGAAAAAAAAAGAAATTATTTTCATTGGCTCCTTTGAATTTGAAACTTTTTGATCGATTCCAACTGACTTCATTTACTAATCTTTTGGTTCGTCGTTATAGAATCGTTATGGTGGAGTTCGGCTGTATCTGTATTCCTAGCAGTTGTGTTTGTTGGTATATGCTCAGTGATGGCTATAACTGCACTTATACGAGGCGAAACTAAGACCCCAAGAATCCTACCCCAATTGGACAATGGAGTCTCTTTCTTCAATCTTTTCACTGCCATTCCAGTGATTGTAACTGCATTCACATTCCACTTCAATGGTATGGAAACACCACGTACTCAAATTTTGCCAAGAAAACAGTCTCTCAATAAGTGAAATTCGTGTAGTTACTTTGTTAATCTAATAACGTAATTACGTTAGAGTTAGAGTTCATGCATTGTGAGTGTAACCAGCCCATCACATATAATATTTGTTCCTGCAGTTCATGCAATCGGAGTCGAGCTAGGCAAGCCAACAATCATGATCTCTGCAGTTCGAATCTCGTTATTGCTCTGTGCAGCCATCTATTTCACGATCGGCATTTTTGGGTACCTTTTATTTGGCGACTCGACTATGGATGATATACTCGTGAATTTTGACCGAAACTCGGGAATAAGTTCGTTCCTAAACGATATAGTTCGGTTGAGCTACGCCTTCCACTTGATGCTCGTTTTCCCGCTTTTGAATTTCTCACTAAGGACCAACATAGACGAGTTCTTGTTCACCAAAAAGGCTCGTTTGGATGAAGACTCGAAGAGATTCGTTTGCCTCAGCCTCGTCTTGCTGGCGGTGGCTTATGTTTTAGCCATAGCCATTCCGAGTATTTGGTACCTTTTTCAGTTCATGGGGTCCACGTCGGCTGTCTGCCTTGCTTTTATTTTTCCGGGAGCGGTTGTGTTGAGGTATATATTTATTTTTTTTATTATTTTTTTCTTTTTTTTCGTAGAGGGTATTGTTTGTTTGCATTTGTTTGTCGATATTTTTGTTAGAGTAATGCTCTTGCCACATGTTAATATGTCCGCCGCTTATGTGACATGCACACATTAATGATGTATTTTTTTAACATATTAACATCATCAATGTGTGCATGTCACATAAGTGGTGGACACATTAATATGTGTCCACCGTAGGTAGGGGAACATTACTAAAAGAGTAATGTATCTTCATTTTCTTACTATTATTATTATTTTGCAGAGATATTCATGGTATTTCAACGTCAACGGATAGGATTATAGCAACAGTGATGATTGTGCTTGCCGTAATAACAAGCACCATAGCTATTTCCACCAATATATATAAGATGGTCGATAAAAAGAGTGCTTGAGTTATTTTTCTCTTGATTGCTGTTAGTTGTAAATTAGTGTATTATTATTTTTTTTTTGGGGGTATATATAGCAGAATATTTTGACACTGCGTGTTAATTCATGTTACACACACATGTGATGAGTGTTTGATTCAATTCAGACTATACTTCTTCGTCACTTCTTTCTATTGTTATTATTATTTTAATTTGATTTTATTTTATTTTTGGTAAGGCTAACCAATATTAATTATTGAAAACTAGTCAATGTTAAAAGATGAAAGCTTGCATTTTATTGTTAAGTTCATGGTACACAATAACCTTTTGAAACTGTTAATGTTTAAATTTTGATGATGTAGACCATTTTGGTTTTCATGATATAGTCATAGCATCTGCATTACATTAGACACTTTGCATTATAATACTCAATTAACACTCGAAATTAAATGATACAACAATATGTTTTATACTAGTATTTGATTATGTATATTTGCATAGATATAAATGTATTATAAAGTATTTTAGCATATAATATTAAAATTATAATGTTGATGTGTCATAATATCCTTAGGCTAACTTTATCCGTGACCCAATGAATGGGTCACGGCAATAAAACAAAAAAAANAAAAAAAAAAAAAAAAAAAAAAAAAAAAAGGAAAGGTCATGATGGTTGTGCGAGTCGCGACCGGTATTGTGAGAAAAAATGGGACATTTATCTCATTTTTATTGGACAAGTGTATTTTTTTGTTCCAAAAAAAAATAAAAAAATATTAAAATTCATATTTTTCATCCTCTACAAATAGAACCACACTTGATATATTCTAGAACACATTTGTAATTTTTAAATAAATTAAAATAAAATAAATATGTAGATTGAGTTGGATTGATGATAAAGATAAATTAGGTTGGAAGATTGAGTTGTGTATGTGGAAGAGAGAGAAATAATTTTTAATTATTATGTTGAGTTGGGTTGGTTGAGTTGGGGATAAAGATGATATTTATAATTTATATGTTATAAATTATAATGATAAAGCAACTTGTGTCGAACCATAATATGGACTATATTCACCTGTGGGGGGCGTTTCTATTCTCCTGTGGGGAGCGTTCGTAGTTGGTGTGTCGGTGTCTTTTTGTTGTGTGTAGTGTTTGTAGCGTGTCCTCTATTCTAGCGTGGCTAGCGAGGTTCTAGGCGGTCTTTCGATCCGTCCTCTCAGTTTTTAGTTCTTGGTTGTATTATTCAGCCTTGGGCTGCTTGTTTTGCACAGTTGTGCATTTTGATTTATAATACCTCTATCGTTTCGATAAAAAAAAAAAAAATAATATGGACTATTAAATTAGAAAAAAAAAACAAAGTACTCATAATGTATATAGTTATAAATTATAAAAATTACTAAAACAATTTTAACGTAATAAAAAAGTAGTAAGTTTTATAACTTTAAAATAACATGCATTACGTTCTCTTAAAATTAATTATCAGTTTATAATATTTATCACAATTTTTTATTTTTACTATCACGATTTAATAATCGAAATAATATATTGTTATAATGTATGACTAAGATAAGAGAGATATAAGTATAGACAAGAGCACTGTTCTAAAAATCGGCCTAGGCGGCTAGGCGGCTCGGCGGCCAGGTGGTTAGGCGGCGCCTAGGCGGGCATAGGCGGACCTAGGCGCTACTAGGCGGGCTCGGCGGCAATTTTTCAGTTTTTTTTTTTAATTTTTCTAAATATTAATTACATTATTTTTTTCTTATATTTTCTTTAAAATATATTAATCTGGTGATTGGGACTTAGGTGTGTTGATTTATTATAAGTTGATATAATTTCATTTTGTAGGTAATTAAAATAAATAAAAAATAAGGTACTTAATATTGATTTCTAGGCCCCGACTAGGCGCCGTCTAGGCCCCGCCTAGACGCTAGGCGCTGTTCGAACGCTCAGCGGCCGCCAAGCGACTTTTAGAACATTGAATAAGAGAGATATAAGTATTTTTAGGAGTATTATTTATCGATTTTTTTTTTTAAATATGAATGTTCCTTATTTTTCTTTTAAAAAGAACTCTAACATAACAACTATTTTATAATTAGTGAAATAAACATATAAATTATATATTAAACTATCATATATTATAAAAATTAAAAAATATATTTTAATAGTAATATTCGAAACTATTTATATATAATAAATATCACTTCATTGCTTTAATTTATACTATTTATCATTGTTATCTCGTACATTACAGGGGTTGCCTACCCGTTTGGTAAATATAATTGATAGCTTATGATGGATGACAAAAACGGGTTCTCCAAGCACGTTGAAAATTCGTCCCAGAGTCGCTCCACCGACCGGAATATACTAGCTTATATAATATACATGTTTGATAAAATTAGATGATACAGGTGAATTAAATTCAACAGATTTATTTGAAAAGTTACTCAAAAAAACTTATAAGATGAGTTCAATTTTTTTAAAAAAGTTGATCCTACCAACAAATTATTTGAATACATTAAACTTATAAATTAATTAACATTAAGCTACCTTGTATGTTTAGCAAAATCATTAATGGTAAAATATAAATTTGAGCGGTAAATAGAAATATGAGTTAATTGCATTTAAAATCATAACCTTTTTCTCAGTTGTAAATAAATCTCAATCTTTTCAATTTGGCAAAAAAACACCAAATCTTTAATAAGTATTGCAATTGTGTCTCAAAATCAATTTCCGGCCGCCAATCACCTTCCGTCGCCGCCAACCGCCACCCGCCGCCGGCCAACTTTGCCGGATGTTGAAAATTTTTACATGATCTTGTAGCTCTCCTCCTTGCCGACAACATATCCGAGTTTCACGAAAAATTCCGACAATAAGACTTCCAATTTTTCAGTCAAGTTCGTAGATCTACAAATTTTCTCTGCCGTTCTTTCACAAATTCCCAGTGACTCACTTTGACCCATTTGAATCCGAAGGTACCGTTGAAATCCTCTCGCAAAGCCGCATCTAGCTAGTGACGTGCACCTTAGTCGGAACCGGTGATCGTTTCTGGCGATGACTTTTTCCGGTCATCTTCTTCGTATATTTCCGGCCGATCCCCACGACGTTCTCTCCCCGAGGCCGACCTCCGCGACGTTCTCTCTCCGACGAGCTTCCCCCAACCCCGAGCTCGACTTCCAGCAACCTCCTTCACTAGGCTTCCCCTTTGTGCACAGCCGCCCCGAGCTCGTTTTTCTGACGTGCCTTGATCGGAAACTGATTTTGAGACTCAAGTGGAATACTTATTAAAAGTTTAGTATTTTTTTTCAATGTATTTTTTTGTCAAATTAAAAAAAATTAAATTTTATTTGTAATTAAACAAAAGATTACGACTTTAAATGCAATTAAAACAATCACCGTCGATTTTTCTATTTACTTGGCAGAGAAATAAAATCTCTCTCCTAAGATAAGATAAGACTCGTTTGCCGGAGAAAAAAGAGGCGACGAGAAAGCGAAACGATTTACGTGGCACCACGGCCAAGGGAGACTCCCTCCGCCGCCTCTCATGAGGTTTTGGACTGCCGGTATGTATTACTGGTCACCCTCAGCCTTGCCCTCGCCTCTTCCCCTCATCCAGTTACAATTTCTTCAAAAACTATATTTTCGTTTTGAATTAACACTGAAATGCTGATTTCAGCTTCATTAACTGTCAATATTTTGAGTTTCGATTGTGCACCATGGCTGTACCTCTTAGCGTCTTGTTGTGCCGATTGTCAGGTCCCTTTCACGGTGTAATTATTGTGCATTGCCATTTAACTGACTGTAAGATCGTTTTAGTTATCTGTTGGGAACTTGTGTGTTCTTCTATGGGTTTGGTTTTGTTTCGTTCACTGAGGTCCTCACCAAATTTGATGTCAGTCAAGCTACTGAAACAGAACATGAATATTAAACCACGAAATTGCTGAATGTTGTAATTCATTGAGAAATATTCATCCAATATATGGGTTATCTATGCCTGAAAAACTGAACGAAGCATATGGTGATTCACGGAAGGTGTTAAGAACGTTTGCTGATGAATTTTTTAACTCTCGTAATTAGCTCACTGTTTGTTCATTTGAATGTT